GTGTGTGTGTGTGTGTGTGTGTGTGTGTGTGTGTGTGTGTGTGTGTGTGTGTCTATTTTTACAACCTAAATATACAATAGCACTAATTTAAAATCCACAACATTTGATTTTTGCTTCATCTATCAAAGTACAAAATAGAATTTATGGTTGTTGTTTTAATATGTAGAAATACCAAAAATGACAGAAGTTTCCATCAAAGAAGAGTTTATAGTTGCTGGAAGACTGTTTAAGCTATGGCTGCACTCAAAACCTTATTCTGCATAACTTGGACTATTAAAGTAATTTTGTTCATGGTAAGATCATCAATTCTCAATGAGATGCATCAGTGGTGGGCAGCACTAATCTAAATATTAGTTGCACTAACCCTAAAGCACTAACTCAAATATTTAAGTCCTCTAATTCTAAAGCACTAAAGTGTAGAAAAATTTAGCATAAGCTAATTCTAAAGCACTAAAATTATCCAGTCAACCCATGAAAATTCTTCAGAGTCAACATGAGACAATATTTACAGTGTGCAGAATATTGTCACGTAGTGCCCTTGGTGGGCCAAATGGGAGTCACTCGCAGGCCACATTTGGTYCCTGGGCCTTGAGTTTGRCACGTGACCTTGTAGATAAGTGACACACATATGAACAAAACATTTGACAGCTTTCACCCTCAACTGTGAACATTAATGTTGATCAATAACATTTAAAGACCYCAGTTAGTGCTTCTAAATTTAGCCTTTAAATTTAGCAAGTGCTAATCCACCAATGAATTTAAAAAATAATGAAAGACCTAAAGCACTAATCAGGAAATTAGTTCCCCTAATAGTGCTCTTGTGCTTTAGGGGAACTGTGCCCACCACTGAGATGCATCAACTCCCTCTAAATAAGACAAACATATCTATTGTGAGAAGTAAAAATGTAATGCTCTGTAAGTTAAGCCCATGATTTCCAGTTCTGCAGAAGATCCCAAATATTGCACTAACAAATAAAGCTTTGCTTTAAAATGAAAAACAAAACACAGCCATTTCTTTGTTTTGCAATTGTCGTTTTTCTTGTTTAATTTTAAAATAAAAAACTAAGAAAACACCCGATTATTCATTTTTTTTCTTGTTATATTTTAAAACTGCAAACAAAGGACGAACCATACACAGACTGGACAGCAATAAACAATTTTATTTTAATAATCCAAAATGGATAATGAAAAAATGTATGATTCTTTGGTCAAATTTAGTTATCAGTTAGATGGAAACTTAACTTTAAGCCTAATTTAACTTATAAATACTAAGTGGCAGATCTTTACCTTTAGCAGAGCATCAAACTGCGTGTCTTCATGAACTGGCAGCTGTGTTGGGATATCACATTCGTTCTGACCATGCACCACCAGTGTTTTGGTACCTGAAGCAACAACAACACAAAACATGTCATCAAAATCTTCGTTAATATTACTAACATTACGTGGACTTAGCTGGGCCACACGGTGCTTTGTGACATCAAATATCATCAGGTGGACCTGGCATGGATGCAGTCACCAGCAGTTTGACCTCACACTGCTCTTTCTTCATCGTCTGCTTCAGGTCTTTAAAAAAGAGCCCCTCCACGTAACCGACCACCTCCCACAGGAAGGTTAACGTGGCCGAAATAGCATCCATACCCCACTCGCAAGGAGTGCGCACGAAGTACATGATGAGCCCCACCTAGAAAAGAGATATTTTCTTGAGAAAGAATTTTGAAATAAACTTTTAAAGGTATCCAATGTTTTTCTGATGTCTCACCAGGTAGTTAAAGAGGATGTGAGAGGTCTGAGCCGGCAGATCTCCGATGTTGAGCAGCAGCTTCCTCAGCATGTAGATCAGTTCATCCTTGAGTTACAAAACAAATACAACAAATCATTTAATATTTCAAAGTGAGGCTGTAATATGTTAAACTTTCATTCCACCTTCAGTAATAAAAAAATGAATGCATCGAAAAGATTTTTGTGATGTTCGCCCACCTGTCTGTTGCTGACAGTGAGTTTTTCCAGGAAGTGGCGGAGAACCAGAGCTGGATCTTCAATCAGGCAGTTCCACAGGATTTGTTGAGCCACGGCGCTCACTGAAGAACCATCAGAGACAATGTTTACCCCAAAAACTATAAAGTTACCTAGATGCACTTTTTATTGTAAAGGCCTGAATGAGTTCAGACCAAAAAAAAAAAAAAAAAAATGAAATTCATCTTAAAGTCAAATTGTTCGTTGGACCAACCAGCTACGCCGTCTTCTCGGACTTCTCCATCTTCCATGAGGTGCACTATGGGCAGGACTGCAGCACAGATGCATGCTGGGAAGACAGCTTGAGGTGGTTGTAGCAGGTGGTGAGTAGGAGTGTGTTCTGTTGTGTTTTCTTCATCTGTGAATTGTAATATAGAAAGTTAAAGAAAAGTGGACGATATGTCGATTATATCTGACAAATTGCGAAGTCTTCCCTCGTAAAATGAGATGAGTATTAAAGATGACTGTATTGCAAATTAAACATAAAGTGTACATTTTAATGGCTAGTTTTGAGCATATTCATGTGATTCACTAGTAGTTCAGCATTTCACAGGCTCCTCTAATGCATCACAACTACTGTATTTATGAATGTGTAATGCAATGTGCATTACCCCCTGGTGAGCTTAGAAACCATAAAAAAAAACTAATTCTCATGTTTAATGCTACACTTAATTTCATACAGATGCAGAATTTTCCTGCACTTGCAGTGTACCCTCTGGTGAGGAAACACATTTTTTGGGGACACACACCTGTCTCTCTCCCCCACCCCCACTCGCCATCGCAGGTGGGGGAGTGGTGAAAGTGGTGTCAGATATGGTTCTGAAAAAAGCATTTTAAAATGTCTCCAAAATATGTCTGTCACTTTGATGCTGAATAAATCCCGACAAAATAAAATTTGATTAAAAAAAACAACATAATCTTTGTTTGAATAAAGCTCATTATATACTGAGACAAATTAAACTTCAATTAATGCAGAATTTAAGTTGGTTTGCAGTTTGAGATTTTCATATTAATATAGTAGTGTTATACAACAGCATTAGCCAATTTATGTTAATTTAACCAATTTATATAGTTAGTCTACATTATTACAATTAAAATTATAATTATAATTCAAATAGAATAACCTATTGTCAATAGAATTATGCAGTGTGATTTATTTTCAATTCAAAATATCTTCAAACTAATGAAATATAAAGTTATTAGTGAATAAAATCTGTCTGGATAACAGCAGACTGACTGTACGTAAAATATAAAATTGAAAGAAGTCATCGCACTGAAAGAAAATGTAGTTATTCATGTTTGTTTACAGGCTGTGTGCTTAACCATCCAGAGAATGKACAAATGCATGGAAAAGGTTATTAAAGAGGAACCATACAAAACCAAGAGCGCTCTTGCTGAAGTCTGGTTTAATCGAGTCCCCAAGAGAGCCTCAGCCCGAMAATGAGGAAGTACATTTAGTTTTAACAAAAGCTCTGAGGCATGGCTCCGCCTATTTTGATTATGTCGTCAGCAAGTGGGAGTCCCTATACTTGGAAGCCACGCCCCCAGACATTATAACYTTTAACTAATGAAGATTTAAAAGGTCAGTTATGTGTTGGATTTGTTTTCAGGCATGTAACTATTTAATATAAATTCATCAAGTTAAGCAAAACAGTCACATTTAACAATCTTTAGAGTTCTATCATAAAACTATACCATGTGTATGTAATTTAAATCAGTTATATAATCTAAACCCCGATAATTTCTTCAACTCCATCATCCAAAAGTTTAGAAGTTGTGAAAACAACAATTTATCTGATAATGTTAGAAATGAAGACAGACATCTCTGACAAACATGCACTTGATGGTTTAAAAAGCTTTTATACCCTCTGCACTGGCCATTGAGCGGACAGACCACACCGAGCCACGGCGGAAAGAGTAGTTCCTGTGGGAGTTACTGGAGGCGCAGGAAGGGCTGACRGACAGACGGCGAGTTGCCAGGTTCAACACTTCGTCTGCTGGTGAGATCAACGTCAAAAAACAACCGGCTGTCAGGGCGGACTATATATCGGTAGAAATTTGCCATGTTTGTAATCCCGTACTCGCGGCCCCCACCTTCCTCCTCCTGCTCAGGCGGAGGGCTGCACGTGGGCTCATAGCAGGCCTCCTGAGCCACGGGGATGGCCGTGATGATGCTCGCCTCGCGGCCCAGGCGGCGCTTCTCCTCCTCCTGCTGCAGGTTCTTGAGGATGTGCTCGGCTCGCTGGTGGGAGCGCGACACCGCCCGCGCAGAAAAGGATTTCTAAACAGGAAATATAGACGGAGAGAGTCCAGAAGCAGTATCAAATCCTTCGGGTATGTGCGTCGACAGCCACGCTAGGCTACGTCCAAGGAGCGATTTGTGATTTCAAACGACTGAACAACACGTTAATACAGTAACTCTCATCCAGCGCTTTGGTCTCATGCTCGAATATCCTCCTGGAGAAGACTAATCAGGTATTAAATAAGATCAGTCATGACACAAATACATGTTTTCAGACTGGAATTTGGAGAATTTACTGTATCTTGTGTACAGTAAATGCCTCACAGCACTCACACAAGCGCTCGTACACATTTAAAAACACTGCCGGCTCAACGCATGGGAATGAGAAAAAAAAAAGGAAAAAAAAAAAAGAAAAACATTCACAGCAAAGTCATTCTTCGTCTAATGACCATGCAATCAACAGCACAACACGCACAGTATGTCTGTATGCTCGATGCATGCTGTTATTAACCTAAGTTTTCTTTTTTTTTCCTTTTAGCAGTCAAAAGCAAATGGTGGATTTGAATACATCTCTGATTCAAGATGCAGCATCCATGAAACTGCCAGAGATATGAAGACGATTTTCCCTTCCTGTTGTCACTGAGCGGAGTTAACAAGATGCATCAGCACAAACATCCGGACAGAAATACCAACTTACTATGGTATGGACTGACTGAATTAATGTGGGGTACTAAAAACAAAGACAGTCGATAGATAAAATTATAGGACATGTGCTCGCAGGTTGTAATCGAACTAGAAAACATCAACAGTCATGATTTGTAACAAAAACAAAAAAACAAAACAAAACAAAAACAAAAAAGGTAAGAATGTGAAAGGAGATTTCCTTTAAAAGTAAATGTCTTACAGCTGTTGCAAGTGTTTATCTTACTAAATTTACTTTATTATGACAACCATTTTGACCAAGGGCTCACACTTACGGACTGGTCTTCGTTGATGGGGTCCTGGACGCTGCCGGTGGTCTGCGGCACCCATGGGGGGTCGAATATGGGGACRCAGGGCATGCCCAGTATCGGAGACGGCAGAGTGAAGTTGATGCTGGGTGGAGGGATCTGAGGCGAGAGAAATCAATCCCAGAAAYGCTGGTTAGTTTGAACAATACGGAACATAACGCATGTACACATACAAGGCCTTGCTTTAATTAATTAAGTAAGTAAATAAAGTTTATTTACAGCAGGTAAAATAAGTATTGAACATGTCACCATTTTTCTCAGTAAATATATTACTAGAGG